CCTGGTACCAAAAGGTACCTACAGATGGACCAGTCATAACTCTCCATCTGGTGGATGAACGTCACAGATTAGAGAAGAGAAAATAAAGTTTTTTGTTTTTGAGGGACCTCACCTGGTAACACCTGGTACCAAAAGGTACCGGCATACCAGCCGGTACCAGGTCTGGTACCTCACCTGGTAACACCTGGTACCAAAAGGTACCGGCATACCAGCCGGTACCAGGTCTGGTACCTCACCTGGTAACACCTGGTATTTCGGTACTTTTTGGTACCAGGTGACACCAGGTGAGGTACCAGGTGACGTCACCTGGTGTTTTTGCACTTTGAGGGACCAGGTGTTACCAGGTGACGTCACCTGGTAACACCTGGTACCTCAAAGTGCAAAAACACCAGGTGACGTCACCTGGTACCTCACCTGGTGTCACCTGGTACCAAAAAGTACCGAAATACCAGGTGTTACCAGGTGACACCAGGTGACGTCACCTGGTACCAGCTGGTACCTGGTTACCATGGTTACCAGGTACCTGGTACAAAATAAAATTGTATCTGCCAGGCCTGGATTTGAACTTGCGCTCCTGGGACCAAAGTCCGAGGACTTATCCTCTGGGCTATATTGCCATGGAGAATGTCCTATTTGGAACTTCTACTGGTTGGTGAAACCAGTTCATGCTCTTAAGAAAAAGCCATAGTACTAAGTGCAGAGTATAACAATTGTTGCCCAGCCCGGGGATTGAACCCAGGTCCACAGAGTCACAGTCTGTGTTCTATTCCGCTGCACCATCCAGTCACACACTCAGCTCATAATGAAACTCATACATGTCATCAAAGGTTTCTTCAGCTATATATAAAAAAAAAAAAGTGAAAGCCCTCACCTGGTAACACCTGGTACCAAAAGGTACCTACAGATGGACCAGTCATAACTATCCATCTGGTGGATGAACGTCACAGATTAGAGAAGAGAAAATAAAGTTTTTTGTTTTTGAGGGACCTCACCTGGTAACACCTGGTACCAGGTGTTTTTTCTAATGCATTTCAATTTGAAGCCTGGTACCATTGTCAGAGTGCTTGACCCCTGAGCTGTTCTGACAAACAAAGGCCTTTATGTAGTGATGAAGTGTTTAAAACATTGAGTTTGTACTGTTACTGATGATAGTGATGTGTAAACATTTAGTTGTGCAACAGACTTTGCACTGTAAGAGTGACTACTTTGTAGCTGCTTTTAAGGAAAACCTGTTTGTTTGTGCTAACATGTGGCACATAGTCTTGCATTTTAAGGCATTTCGGGGACTTTTTATTTTTATGGATATTTTTACGATGGTAAGGCTATAGTAAGGCATGTTTTGGGTGATTTTTTAAATATTCATATAAAATACTTTTTGGACATTTAAACACAAAATATTCACTTGGTAGCATGTTTTAGGACATAGTCTTGCATTTTAGGGCATTTCGGGGACTTTTTATTTTTATGGATATTTTCACAATGGTAAGGCTATAGTAAGGCATGTTTTGGGCGATTTTTTAAATATTCATATAAAATACTTTTTGGACTTTTAAACACAAAATATTCACTTGGTAGCATGTTTTAGGACATAGTCTTGCATTTTAGGGCATTTCGGGGACTTTTTATTTTTATGGATATTTTCACGATGGTAAGGCTATAGTAAGGCATGTTTTGGGTGATTTTTTAAATTTTCATATAAAATACTTTTTGGACTTTTAAACACAAAATATTCACTTGGTAGCATGTTTTAGGACATAGTCTTGCATTTTAGGGCATTTCGGGGACTTTTTATTTTTATGGATATTTTCACAATGGTAAGGCTATAGTAAGGCATGTTTTGGGTGATTTTTTAAATATTCATATAAAATACTTTTTGGACATTTAAACACAAAATATTCACTTGGCAGCATGTTTTAGGACCTAATCTTTCATTTTAAGGCATTTCAGGGACTTTTTATTTTTATGGAAATTTTCACCATTGGTGTCAATTTTAAATATTCAATAAATATACACATTTAAATTCAGTTTTAAACCAGATTTTATTGTATTTCACTATCGACATATTATACATCCAATATATATACTCTACTAACATAGCAAAGTGGGCTGGGTTAGGGCATTAAACTCCCGGGCTAAAAAAGTGGCCCACTGCGGCCCTGTCTGTATCCAATCCCAATGTAGTGGATAATGTTGTTCCCGTCTCTAGAGTAACGCAGCCCTTCACTACGTCCCCCACTGACCAAGCCACTGCTGTGCATTCACTTTATATATATTTTCAACTGAGCCTTCAAATCCGCTGGCCAAGAAAATGTGACTCTACAGTTTAAATGATCATTGTTAAGCAAACGGGGAGAGGGTCAAGGGTCAAGTCATAATGATGTATTAGGATGGATTAACTGTTCTGGTCCGGGGAAGGTGGAGGGTGGGGGGGGGCGGATGTGGAGGTGGTAGGGTTTGCAAACTGAGTAAAAAGGTCACCGTCAGTAGGTCAATGTCTGGAGCTGCTACTTTACCTGCCTGTTTTGGGGACGGTCCTGTTTCTCAAAACAGTTGTGCCATAACTGTGGGTCAGGGGGTGACGGTCTGTCCTTCTCTCCTCACAGTAACCTGATCGGAGGCCTGTGGCCCCAAACCCCCCACCCCTCCTTTCCCTCTCCTGTCAAGGGAGGACTCTGAAGCCTAGTGGCACCAAGAACAGTTTTCAGGCCAGCTTCAGAGTGCTGATGGGAAATGGGGGCATTGTCACCATGGTGACAGGGTTGAGCACAGTCTGACCCACCAGCTGAGGATGGTGGGTCAGCATCTGGGTGCCCACCGACGTCGGCTTGCTGATGATGGTGGCTGTGGGCTGACTCGGAACAGTGCCGTTCACCTGTGGGTGAGCGTGGTTCAATGTGTGTGTGATGTGACCCATCACAGTGGGCTGTGTGATGGCCAAAGGTTGGGAATAAAGGGCAGGTAGGTGCTGGCTCAAGTGGGTCACTGGGTGCACAGTAATGTGGCCGATGGGCGGGGCCAACTGAACAGAACTGGTGGAGGGGGGACACAGATGTGTAACGTGCTTTGCTGCTCCACCCTGAATGACGTGGCTGACTGTTTGGATGACCGAGGGATGGGTTATGGAGGCGTGGGCTATTACTGTGGGATGCAGGGTGGGTGTGGGAGTAACGGGAGCACTACAGGCAATGGCTGCAGAGGTAAGAGGAGGTGCAGGTTTGGACACTGACTGTGGAGGGGTGGTTGGCTGAGGCTGGAGCAGGTGGGGGTTTTGCTGCATGGAAATGTGTTGAGTAATAAAGGAGGTGGAGGGTCTGTGTGTGTGTGCCACACTCTTGTGCAGCTCAGGTGTCATGGTTCGAGGCACGACAGGTGCAGCCGCCTGTGCTCCGGGTGGAGTCTCTTCATCGTCCGACATGTCTTCACCTTCTGCAACAGAACCAGACGATAGAAATAAGTTTTTAGTGAGGGCTGTGTTTGCTGCTGACATGACACACGTTTAACCTCAAAACTGAACAATTCAGCTACAGAGGATGAACTCTACACTACTCTGGACACATTCGTCTTTCTTGCAATAACTAACTTGTGTTAGGGATGTCTGATAATATCAGCCCAATATTAGCATAATAATTTAATATCTGTAAGAATCGTTATCGTTTTTTTCTCTGATAATGAAACCCAATAACCCAATGCCTGGGTTTTGTCAAATTAAGTGTGCCCTAAAAATAGTTTTGGAGATAAATGGCTGTATATGAAATTGAAAGTCACTAGATGGCAGCATTGCAGCTCATCTACTCTATATAATCTATTAGTGCCAGCAACTCATACAGTTTGTACAGATAAATAAACAAATATTACTAGGACTATATCAGTATTGGTTGATATTGGACAAAAAGTTAATATCTCACATCCTTACTTTATGTATAAAGCTAAAAAGTGAACCCACACTTCATTAATCATTTATTTTCTTTACAAAAAAAAAAAGATTAATGAACAAGTTCTGGAGATGCTGCCTCTTGTGGCCTGTGCACAGCTTCCACACTGCTGAATAAACCCCACCCTACAACTGTCAGCCCACCTGAGGCAGTAGAGGTGGAGGCCTGGTCGTCTTCAGGCTGCACCGTCTGTCGAAGTATGCGTTCGATCTCCACCACATCCATCCACTGGTTGAGATCATGTTTCAGGTCTGCTAGCCGCTGCTGCATGGCTATCTTCTCTCTGGCCAGTCGCTCCATGTCATGTTCATAGTCCTTCTCTTTACGCTTTAATGTCTGGGAAAAGACACAACAACACAGTGCACAACAATTAACAATTTGAAAATTACAATGACTTATTGTATGCATTCATGATATATGATTTGAACTATTAATGTTTAATGAAAAGAAAAAATACTTTCATATTTGTTTTTAATACATTTTTAATACTTTGTTTAGATGTGTTTATCAGGTAAATAGAAAAACAGAATCTGTAAGACTGTAATGTCATACAAATATCAAGTAAAGAAAAAGGCCAAGCTAAGTGAGGGTTGACACTGTAATCCAGTGTTCCACAAGTGTTAAACTCAGGCCTGCAGACCAAATCTGGCCCCTGGTGTAATTATATTTGGCCAGAGAGAGATCATGTCAAATGTGTATTAGAGCTGGCCCACCATTATACAGTATAGCCACTATATACTGGCGGCCTTTGTAGTATTAGCGTACATTTTTGGTTGTGAAATGATTTATATTAACAAGAAACTTAAAAGTCTAGCGGTAGAGACATAAAAACAACCTAAAGACACACCACTGATGTGTGTGTCTTTGGCACCCCGATCTAGTCATTCAGATTAACTGAACAAAGGTCACTCCAAAGGTCACCTGCTGAGAGGAGCGAGAGTGTGATGTCACATCTGCTGCTCTTCTCATTAAGATGAACAAACAATAAAAACCCATAAAGAAGTCATCTATCAAAGTCCACCTGGTGGCCTGGTTAGTTCATCAACAGGAACATTCTTCACAAATCAACACCTTGAGATTAAACCCAGCACCAGAGTCTGTGAGCAGGAGGAAACAATAAGAGCACGGGAGGAGGTGCTTCCAGTCAGTGCTTTTCTGTGACCCAATTTCCTTTAAGCAGTCAGCTGACTCTCTGCAGACATGACAAATCCACATGATTTTCCTTGTCCACAGCAGGAAGAACGTAAACATCTAAACTCAGCCAGGACATGAACTTATAAGTCAACAATGACGTGGACGAGAGCCAAAAACATTGACCGTCAGTCAGAGGAGAGTTTTGGAGATTGTTATGGACGAGTGATAACAACATCAGAGCCTCAGTATGATTTATTACTACTCAGTTCACCTGAGCACGCTGAAGTAGATAATCTGATGACTAAGCATCATCAAACTCCCACATGGTGACTTCCTGTTAATGATCACACCACTGAACATCTGAGGTTGGTGTGAAAGAAAGAGAGAGAGAGAGAGAAAACAAGAATGCAAGGAGTGCCTTCATTTAACAATTAAAAAGAATTCTAATAATTCATCACAAATTTTGAGGTGAATATTGAGCTAAAAATGTATTACAATTAATTGCAGTTAATTGAATGTTTTTTGTTGTGATTTATTGCAATTCAATAATGAATTCTAAACACTATTTGAAGTTGTTTCTAAGGGGATTTTATAAATTAAATCTAGGATCTGTGATTGTGTGAATTTATTTATTTAAAAATGATTTCTTTCCCCCACAAATTTCTGTTATTTAATAGATCAAGTTATAAAAGACATTTAGATTTACTGCACTCATTTACGCAGCACAGAACGTACTCCTGAATGGACAATGAGGACAAAAGACGGTTCCTGTTTGATCCTGCACCTGTCTCAAGGTCTTATCCTGGATTACAGGAGCACAGAACATCAGTCAACACTCACTGGGAGTGTGGAGTGTGGTGGGAGGTTGGGGTGAGGTGAAATTCATTTAAATTGGCAGATAATGGATTGGAGAATCTTTAACCATTAAAACTGAAAGTTTTATATTTGAAAGAATTAAACTCCAGAGTCAGAACACTGACTGAAATTTGTCTTCTGACACAGTGGATTTTTTTCAAAATTACTAACAGGACTGAAAACAACCCCCACTATCAACATTATAAAATAATTATACATGTAATATTACCTAAACATACATTAGAAAAGCATTAGATGGCGCCAAAACCTTTTAACATATTATATAATAAAATTTGAACCTAGTTTCTCTGGCCATATGTATGCAAAAACAGTAAAATCAGTAAAAATACTGCTGGTAGTAATACATTTAATCACCATTCTCTAGACCATATGTGTCAAACTCAAGGCCCATGGGCCAAATGCGGCCTTCCAAGCCGTTTTGTGTGGCCCGCAGGAGCTTAAAAAGCATTTCATAAATCCATGACGCAGAGTTTCTTAACCTTCTTAAAACTTAAAGTTATTGTTATCATACAGAAATGAACAATAACATGTATTAGTCTGTTATGGAGTAGTTACATCCATACCAGCGGTCACCAATCTTTTTTGGCTCCAAGGACTGGTCAGCCAGTACCAAGGTACCAAGGTGCTGAGCATTGAAGGATCATTACATTTTCAAAATAAAATATAGTTTAGATTCTGTTTGTATCAGAGTCTGAATTACCTTTTATTTTTAAATATTGCCAGATTATCGTTAAATAAAGAAAGTAAATTGATATGGTGGATTTTTTGAATGAAGTAAATTAGTAAAAATTAAGCAAATTTTTTCACTGTGTCCCCCTGTGGCCCGGTACCAAATGACCTATGGACTAGTACTGGTCCACGGATCGGGGGTTGGGGACCCCTGATCTATACAGTCTTTCATTTACAACTGGCCCTTCAAGGGGAATTGTATTGATGTGGCCCACAGTGAAAATGAGTTTGACACCGATGTTCTAGACAAATACTAAAACCAAGGGTTGGCTCATTTATTCAAATACTGATTATTAAAGTAGTCAGAAACTGACTTCCAAGAAAATTCCAAACACATGGCGGCCATTAATTTGTCAATACTAAAACTGGGAAAATCCACATGCGAGAAGGAACATATTACATCTTGATCAGCACACAAGAGGAGCAGAAATGTCCCTGTCGTTAGCGTCATGGAAACAGCTGACCTCTTAAACCAATTAATGTTTCCCAGGTAACAGCACAGATCGCACACACCATGTGGCCAAGACTGTTCTTTTCCCTGTCAGTGTTTGACTAAAGATAAAGGGTCTGAGGGTCATTACTGTAACAATGATGGTCTGATGAACTAATTGGTGAATGGTGTCCACAGAACAGGATTATATATATATATAAATATATACAGCATAACAGAACAAGACTGTCCAACCAACCTGACTGTGGGCCTTACATTTACACTGTGGCATTAGCCAACAGCACCACCATTTATTTAACAAACGATGACTCATGGAAACAGAAAATGAAAGGGTGAAAATAAAATAAAGCACCACAAATACCAACTCTCCAATATGTTTACACACACAAATACCATTGTGGCTCAACTAGAAACCAGTGTTTCTGAAATTTTCTCCAAACCATTAACCACCAGGATGCCCTATAATCTTGGATTATTCTACTTAGCTTTTTCTCCCCACAAAGTTCTTATATTCTGTTTGACTCTACTCAACCCAAAATTAAGTCCCAAGTCGCAAAACAAAGGTCCACAACGAAAGTCAGCAAACTTACAGGTAAATAGGTTAATCGGTAACTCATCAGTACGGCCTAGTGTATAGTGTCTGGCTTCCTCATGCTGTGTGGAAGTATTGGCTTTTCTGGAGGTGTTAGCTTGTTAGCTGTTAGCACAAATGACTGCAGTGAGTGATAGCTTTGACAGCTGAGGGGCAGGAGACACTGCAGTACAACACTGAACTTCAAAAGATTGGACTGGCACTTCATTCTGTCTGCTGCATCAAGGGCTACGTCAGGGCAAGGACAGTTATCACTCCAAAAAATGAAGGAGTAATTTGACTTTTAGAAAAATTAAAGAGGGGCTTGTTAATCCATCAGAAGGAGATTTGATTTTATTAACATTTCATTAAAAAAATTAAATCATCTTTTGTAAAAAAAAAAAAATGAAAAAAAAAGAATCTACTGCCGCCCTGTGATGATGGATATAATGAACTACCGAGCAGAAGGATCCCATGACTTCATCCTCCTAATCATGTCAGCAGGTTTGTAGGACACATTGTGCTTGTGAACTTGTTTGTTTGCACATGGCTGCAGCACCTAAGCCTGTGCACCTCCTCGTCTTTCTCCTCCTCCTCCTCCTCCACCATCGTTGCCTTGTTCATGTGTGAAAATCAAGATCAGTACAGGACCGGGGGGGGGGGTTCTTCATGTGCGAGTGTGTATGTGTGTGAAGTAAACACTGATCAAGTGCTGTCACAAGCAATGCGAGTGCCGAGCACATGGCCCCATGGAGAACAGGAGGGAGGGGTGGGGAGAGGGGGGTGACTGGAAGAGAGCAACACGAGCTGTACTCACTGACTCACTGCAGCAGTCGGGAACACGCAGCACACGGCTGGGCTTTTCCTTAAAGGGCCAGTAGCTGCGCCAGCCACGTTGCAGACCTTGCTACACGGCCCAGCTGAGTGGGCAGAGTCGGTGCACACTTCAGGTCATGTGACAACGTGGTAACCATAAACCCTACTGTCCTAGTGTCTCAGTGGACTCTCTAGGTGGAACAAATCGTTTCACGCTGTGTCCCACTGCAACACAGAATTGTCTGTGAGAAAAAGATAATCCCTCTGGTCAATCAGTCTTTAACTGCCCCAAAATAGAACTCCACAGTCTGCGCTAGAATCTGTTTAAATAAACAACCTCTTCATCCACAAACACTGATAATAAATACTTCTATTGAGAGTTAAGAATTCCACAAACTGAACAAGAGTGGAAAAAGTTCACAGAGAATCTGAACAAGGGTCAAGACCAAAGATGGGGACCGTCAGAGGGCTGAATGTTTCACAGTTGACTAACAGGGAAATCGTTTGGTCATGTTGAAGAGTCATGAGGACGAGGAGCCTGAAAACTGTGGAATGGCATCAACTGGTAAAAATGCTGAAACAACGAGCAGCAGTCTAATCTAATCTTTGGGTGATTTTCCCCAACAGACGGCAGAACATGCTGCACACTGATATTGGGGAATAGGAGGACATGACTATTTGCTTTGAGTGGAAAACCAAGTGTGGTCAGAGTTAAACCAAACCTGGTGTTTACAGCCTGGCCCACCTACTCCCCCGCCCCTACACCCCTTCTCTGCTGGCAGCTACGCCTGACGGTACAGTGAGTTCTGTCTGTTGCAGTTCTGGGCGAAGGCTGAGCGCAGGGGCGGGGGTGGGGGTGACATCACGCGGCTCAGTCTAGCCATGTGCTCGCTGCTCATGTGGCCTTAAAAGCTCACGGAGGCAGGGGGGAGGAGGGAGGAGGGGCGTGACAATGAGTAGCTCCAACGTTTCAGGACTTATTTTTATGGTCCAGACTTTTTTCCATGCTACTACAGGCCTTGAAGTACAACAGTAATCCAGGGCCGTAAAATAAAACACAAAAACTCATAATGAAGCTCCGAAAAGACTCAACAACCTGTGCCTGCAGTAGTTTGTTATTCACTGCTGAATCACATGCTCCACAAATGACAAGTGAGGGTGGAATTTCAAATGGGTAGGTAATAAAATTTTAAAAAATGTATCCCATGAATTTGATCTTTAGTTAACGCCTCAAAATCATGTTTTTTCTTCATGTGTTTTCTGGTTGCCAATCCTGAGGGAGGCTATGACAAAAACACAAAAAGAGGAGTTTTAAGTATCCTCAAATACTGGCCCACGGTCTTCCTCTGACCTGTGAACCTCTTGTTTGAGGACTGCGAGCTGAACTTGTGAAAGGAGGCTGTTTTCCTGTTTTGGTTTGGTCAACCCCAGTAAACAACCAGCCACAGAGGTGGAGGAAGTATTTAATCTATTACATATCCATTTATTTAGATACTGTTTATCTAATATATACCTTTATAAACCCCTGTTTAGCTTAGCCACCAACAGAAAATAAAAAGGGTGATGAGCTCTGCACCCACGCTGTCCTAGTTTCCCTTGGTAACCATGCACAGAGAGGAGAGAGGAGAAGCCCAGCTGCTCCAGACTCCCAGCATCAAACACCAGCAGTATTTTGAATTAAAAGTGGAAGTGGAAGTTTGGTTCTGAGGTTTAAAACAACACTACAGAGGGAAATCTGATGTAAAATAAAGTTCTATCTATCTACCTCTCTATCCATCTCTCTATCTGTAATTATATCTATCTATCATAGCTATCCATCGATCGAACAAATCAAGATGTGGATATTACTTCTTCTTACTTCTTAAGTATGTAACAATACAGGTATATTGTCAACAGATGTTTATTTAACTGAAAAGTACTAACAAAACAACAGTCTAATATCTGGGCCATAGGAACCTGAGTTCAGTTTCACCCATGGATAAACTTATGTCTCAACTTGGGTTCTATCTTTAGTAGGGGGTGGTGTGTGTGTGTGTGTGTGGGGGAGGGATGAGGGCTGGGGGGTAAGGGAGTCAGTAAACAGTGACATGCTCAGTCGCAGTGTCACAGGCTGAAGGAGTTAAAGTAGGCCAGAGGAGGAACTTTGCACCAGCTGTTTACAACTGGGTTCTATTACAGTGACACGACTGCAAACACACAGACTCCTTTGTACCCACTACAGATATTCTGTGTATTAAACACAGTATCGAGTATGATTTGGTACAGAAAGTGTTGAGGATTTCTTGTCAACATCTGGGTCACACTCCACAGTGGAGCCATGTAAACAAACAAACATTTGGAGAGAGCGGTGGTGACTGTCAGCTGCTCAGTTGCTAATTGCACAACCTTTTTGCACCAAGGGCCATGGGCCGCTAAAAGCCAATAGTGTGGAAGGGTAACACCACACAAATCGCTGAAAGATCATTCCATTTTCAAAATAAAATTATTCTGTTCGTATCTGTTAGCCTAAAGTTGTGGTTCTATAGTGTAGCGGTTACCATGCTTGCCTTACGGGCAGAGAACTTGGGTTGGATTCCCAGGAAAAACCACATACTTGGCGCCTCCAGGGGGCAACCTATCGCAGCAGATCTGATGTTAACACAACAATTTCCCAACAGTAAAACGGTATTAATTACCAGTAAATTAGGGCAAATAGTTTTCATGGCGGATTAGAAAACCCATAAACCACAAATCATGTGTCACAGACGGCGGGGGGTATTGATCAACCGACAACATCACGCATCTCAGTCAGTGACATAAGGAGCGAGGCTAAGACTTCTGCAGCGCTCACATGAACCAGAGCAGAAAAGACGTCACAGGAATAGAAAAATGGAGAAATTTTCAGAACTCTCTAAGTTCTCTGAACTTATAAACAGATTTGTTTGACATCTAGATGATTCCAGAGTAATTAGAATCACAAATTTGAGTACTTTCACTCTGGAGTATCAGTATAATCGAATACACAGCCATAACAGCAAATCACAGCAAAAACATATACATTGATGTATATGTTTGTCCACAAACTGATTATTATGCCTTTATGTTCAAGAAACGTTAATTTTAGAATAAAGTACACAAACAATCCTTTTATATAAAGTAAGTAATGGAATCTAATTTGTAATAGTTGGAGTTGTATTGAAACTGTCAACAAACCCGCTCACTAACAGAAATTTTTGTTTTTTCAGCACAGACTCGACAACAAAAACAGTTGAAAGCAGCTCACCTGGATATATTTGAGTGCACTTCTGAGCACACACAGATTGGAGGTCTTCTTCTCATCTAAGTTGGGAATGATTTTTTTCAACGTCTCAAAACACTCCTTCAGATGAGCTCGTCTGAGCGATGACAAGACACCCAAACACAGAGAGAGAAGACAACAGAGTGTGAGACATTTGAAGTTAAAGTTAAAGACAATGGTCTGCAGCATTAGATGTTGGATTTGTTTGATCTTTGATTTTGGAACATTAGTGAACTGAGTGAACTCACCTATGCTTCTCGAGCTTGCTGTGAATCTCTCTGGTCCCTGCCCTGTAGGTTGAGCACAGATGAGCCTCAGTAAGAATGCGTTAAATTGACAGAAATTAACTCCATTATTAAAATACGACCTTGGTTAAAATGTCTACAATAAAGAAGAACGGACTGTTGTGAATAAACATTCTTCAGGTTTTTTTTTCTCCCCACCATCACCAAAATACTGCTGAGGGTGAGACGTAATTTGGTTTGTTAATAATATTTGTAAGACCTACTCTATTTATTGTAAATATAAACTCATATTGACTTTATACACATCCCTCTGTCCATTATACAGGCTTTTTTGGAGTACAGTCTTATCTTCTTCATTTTAAAACATTAAGGTACATTATATTTGTCTACATTCAACAATTATATTTTTGTATTTCAGCAGTTGCTACAGTAACATTTGAATCCTCTACTGCATTCTAGTTGATAAAAAAACAGGTTAAAATAAAATCTGTATAATCTTAAGCTGCTCTGGAACTACAACTATTATTTTCACTATTATCATTATGGCAGTGGCAGAATATCTGCCTGACAAAAATAGACCAAAACTATACAGGAAGTGATGTAAAAACAAAAACGGAGATGGAACCGTTTTTATTGGCTAAGCTCTGAAGTTGAGGAATCTTGTCAAGATAATGGATTTAATAAAGTCAATATTAAGTTTACTTAAACATATAATAATGAATATAATAAATTATTATTATTATTATTATTATTATTATTATTATTATTATTATTATAAGCAGTTAGGTCTTTCTGAAAAGGGTGTGAGTTTGTGGAACTCACCCCCGTGGCCTCTTCTTGTATTCCAGCTGGGCACCTTCTTCAGTGGGGCTTCCCCAGCAGGTGGGGGCGCTCTGTACAGGAGGCTGTTGGACAACTGGGCCTAACTGCGGCTGTATGGTGGACTGCTGTGCAGGTGAGACGATGGAGCCGGCGTGGCATTGAGGCAGCTGCTGCGAGGTCTGCGGCCGAGGGTTATTATTGTTGTCTAGTGTTTGATGGTTGCTGTGGTGGGGACTGTTGTTCTGTATCAGTGGCTTGTTGCTGGTGGTCAGCACAGATGTTGGGGGGTCCTGTTCGGGCTGCAAAGAGCTCTGCAGAGCTGGGAGAACCTCGTCCTGGCTGAAGTGAGGGTCCGACCTCTGGGGGGTCAGTGCAGCCACTACAGGACAAAGTGATGCCATGGATGGTGGAGGGCAGCCTGTAGGTTTGGGGGTCACCACAGGGTTGGGGGTGACAGTGACGGGTGGGGAAGGTAATGAGGGTGGTACAGGAGGTGGGTGGCTCTCTGGGCCCCACTCCTCCATTTTAGAACCATCGTTGACGTGGGTGGTTGGGTTTAAGCTCACATCCACCAGCCTCTGCACAGGAGTCTGGCGCAGCTGAAGCTTTTCTTTCAGATCATCCTCTGTGGAGGAAAAATAAGAAGAACAGACAATAGAAGAGTTAGAACCTTGATTCAGACCCACAGTCTACAGACTGAACACACTGATCAGAAGAGCTGACTTCATTATTAGAGACTGTGAGTCTACAGTGGAGGGAAGGACACTCAAAAGGACACTCCACCGTATGGAGCCTTACAGAAAATCTTTCCTGCTTGATTGAATTCTGTCCATCTAACCATGAATCCATCCACTTCAGTTTCAGCCACTACAAAGTACTACACTCCTCAGTAAACAAAAACAGGGTTTATGTCTGTATTCTATGCACATTTTAAAAGAGAAGATTTTTTTGTCAAACTTTGGGGAATCCATATTTCATTTATTTGTCCTTTGTGTCGTCTTGTACGGTAAAAGGCCGGTGTGCGTCCCTTTTGCCCTTGTTGAATTTTCAACTTCTTTTCAGCTATCCCTAAGTGACCTTTTTTTAATGTACTCAACTTTTCATATAAAATATGAATTTTACACCATAGACCAAGGCTCAGAAGACAAAATGTTTTTGTAGAACTGAACATAACTGGTACTAACAAAACCCACTCATTGAAAACACCGGTCTATCTTAAGGTCACACGTAACCGCCCACACCGCCAACCTCAGCAGGCAGCAGGAGCAACGTGTAAAGCATTAAAGTCTGATCAATGTGACGTCAGTGAGCAGGATTGTGTTTGTGAACTCAGCATAAACAGAAGGACAAAGGTCTCACAGCAACAGCAGTAGAAGCTCAAACATCAGGAAGTACTCTGGCTGTTCTGTGTTGGGTTCTCAGTCAAAATGGACAGATATGCTTCTACACAAACAAAATAGATTGGATGTTTATCATATCTGGGAAAGAAGGCTGTAAAGACGACAACGCTCATGGTCCATTGGCCAAACTAGGTTGGAGAGATGGGCGGAAAAATAGATAATAAAACCAAACACTGCCGGGAGCCAGAACATGTCAAAGAACAAGGAGGTTCACAGCATAAAAACACTACATTGTACCATCTTCTAAAACTTGGACCTCAAAATACCCTTTCTCCTGAAAATATTAGCCTAAGAACAAAGTGTTCCCGTTATAATAATAATTTGTATCCTCCTACTTCCTTTATATGACTTTAAATTACAGTATGTAGATCAACTGGATTTAATTCAATTCTGGAACAGAGGTAACCCTTTTTATATACTGTCTATTCTGTTGCCACTCTGTTTTACTGATGCAAACAGATGCAAGCACCACTTAGTTTTAGCTTTTTCCCTAAAGCATAATTCAAAAGGTCCTAAATGTCCAGTTTTAACCATTTATTTAACAAACTTACAGTGAAAAGAGACAATACAGAAACATCTTAAAAAACATAAACCCATAATGCACCTTACTGTCTGTTGTAACCTGTATTAGAAATATGGTGCTGATGACTGGACTATAAACACAATGTAATAGCTTCACTCACTAATTTTAACATTTAAGTCATAAACCCCCATCTTCCTTTGGTGTTTTGAAGACCACAGCATATTATCGTCCAACATTCTGTTTCGAAACGTGAAATTACTTGGAATGAAAGTGTGGAAACGTGTGCATCTTGTTTAGTCACAAAGAATAAAGTGCAAGTTAAAGTAAAGAAGGTGGAAATACTTTTAGGTCTGACTACCTTTTCTTTGGCACTAGACTGCAGCGTCTACACTGTGGCTGTGCTCATGCATCAGGTTACCCTGAGAAGATCTTTCTTCTACAGGAAAAAAAAAACTCAGAGGAACAAGATGTTCCGAAGTGTGCTATGCAGCTTTCAAAAGGTGATTCGTGCTATTATGAGAGGCTAAACGCTTTTTGGCTCGCAAGCACGCGCACACACACTCAGTGAGGGGATTCCTATTCTGGTAGACAACTTGTAAAACACCTGTGTAGAAATGTGGGAATTCTATAGACGTCATATAACTGCAGCATTAGCAGCACACAGACAAAAACTAGCCTACTTTCCTCCACATGCGGACCTGCATTACTGTAGCAGGAAGGAGGTATTTAATAATCGAGTAGTAGTAGTAGTAGTAGTAGTAGAGTGCTCACTCTGAGCCTGTTTTCGACATCACAATACATCTGTAACGCTGTGAGTAAATGCAAAGCGAGCGTAAGTCATCTGAAGACGACTACAGCAGTGCTCTGCTTTACTACGATTAGGAACCAACTAAAAGCTGTCTTGGAGACGTTTTTCACCCACTATGTTAATATAATGTAATTTTTTTATAATTAAAACTAACGAAAATACACATGTAAAAATGGTGCTGAGGATCCAGGTTACATAAATTTGTCTGGACTCGTTCCAATGGTCGTAAAAATGCATGCACATACTGAAAGTCTGTAGCGCTTCCACCACATGTCACGTAGATGTACTTTATATAACGACTCAGTGCTGACCTGAAGTTTGAGGACACGATGCAACGTAGGCAAAACAGAAACAGCAACTTTGGCGCAGTTTGTGTCTTTGTTAAAGTCGAGGTATAGGGACATTACGTTGATTTTCCATTTGTTGTAATTATTAGGAATTAGCATCATCATGAATATAAAATATAGTCTAATATGTATATAACTAACTTGAGAGCCACCTACAGCTATGTATTTATCCGTATACTATGAGTCAAACATCCAAAACAACACGTGTACAACTGCTGATAAGTGATACCATCTAATTTAAAGTTGCTTTGTGATATAAGTAATTCTGAAGTATTAATGACGGACAGGAAGAACAAAGTATATGACCAAAAGCATGTGAACGTTGAGTGTCCTCTTCCCCATAAACGATCTCTGGGAGGGGTTGCCCTGCGTGCACGTGGTAAAGTGGGCGGAGTCACAGCCTTAACGTGTTGTGGGCGGGGTTGGTGGTACACGTCATCGGCAGACAACTCGTAGGACCTTTCGAAGCGATGGCTGCTAGTTTATACAGTAGTTAATCTGTACATATTTTTTTATTTATTTTTCTTTACTTTTTAAAAATTAAAATTCGTCAGAAGTAATGGTGGTAAAGAGGCTCGGCCTCTCAGAGATGAAATGAGAAGGTTAGAGTCACCAAATGTCACTTCAATGTAAAATAAGCTGTTGATATGTTGGCCACCGCCCTTCAGCTCCTTACATTTCACGGCTGGTTCGCTCCTTTTCTTAAAACATGCGAAGAAACAGATTGTTACAAAGAAACGGAGGAGCTGTGACAGAAAGTACAGGATGTGCCGCCGCTGCTGCTGCATTCGGACAGAGCTGTTAACGCAGCAGCAGGTTTCAGTGCAGGAACTCCTGACAACAGCTCTTTGACATGTTCAACCATGACTATAATCGAACAAATCTAAAGTCGATTATAAATAATACCGTGCAAGTCATAAGGGCATTGTGAAAGTAAAAGTAACCGTGAATGTGTGGCGCATTTGGCCTGTACCGTTGTCCCATGAATGTCTCAGTTAACCTCAACAACCTGCTGAAACACACTTGAAGTCACCTCACAAATAACGCTGATCCATTCGTCTAGAGCTCCACTGTAAACTTGAAACTTGTTTCTCATGTCAGCAGCTCATTTCCATATACCACCGGAACTGAATTTAAATGTAAATAAAAAAATAAAAACAACTCACCCAGTGATTTCTGTTGCAGAGCTTGTCGTTCCAAAAACTTGATAGCTTCCAGGAGCGTCTCGATGTTCATCTCTGTTCTAGAATAAAAAATGATCTATATTTAACTTATAATTATTAATGTTGTTGAAGCCGAAAGACAGAGGTCGGGAATGCGACACACGGCCGTGCAGGGGGCTGTCTAAACTGGAATCAGGGGAATCGGACACCCACTCCTGAAGTAGTACAGAAAATAAGGTTTGTGAATCACGTAGCAATTGTATCCGCCCCCAGACACGCGACTATTTCTCAAACACACACACACACACGCTCTCTCTCTCTCTCAATCCAAAAGTCGGAGCACCGCGGTGTGGATTAGATTGAACCGTCACTAAATTAGACCCGCCTAGCTACTAAACTATGGCTCAATTTACGAAAGTAAAGTCGTTTACAGTTATTTTTTCAACACCTTCAACTTTGCGTCATTGTTTTTCTGTTGGAACAGATATTTAAAAATTAAAAAGTTAAAACATATTCAAATATTCACCTCTGAAGAACTCGCCTGTATATGAAGTCAAATTACAAAACAATACTGTGATGACATTTAAAACAAAAGCACACTTACATGTAACATACTTACAGGCATAAACACCACGAAAAAGGCCCTAAAATGAGAAAGTTATATCTAATTTTAATTATAAAAAGTTATTCAAATACAAAATTATATTCTCCCATAATGTCATTGGATCGTTCAATTTAAAATAATTAGTTAACTGTCGGATTTAAAAGGTATAATATCTTAAATGTAATTTTTGTCATCACACTGGAAGCATGATGCCCTCTTCCGGCCAATATTAAAAACGTGTTCTTCACTAGCTGTTGTAGTTTATCATTAACACAAACGTTAACGCTCATTATGTTTTTTTTACTGGTCATCTAGATTTGACTTATTTTTAACATTGTTAATTTATTCTATCGTATTTTTTTTAACACATCACCCATCTCAACCTTTCTAATTTATAATGTTTTAAACATTGATGTTTGTAACTAGACATGCTTTATTAACAAGGACAGAAGTCTGTGCTGAAAACTGACTGTCTCCCCCTCTTCACCCAGGTCAGTCCAGTCTAGTGAAGGTTAACTGCCACGGTTTGTCTGGATTTTCTTTTTTCTGTATCTAAATCAATTTTCACATTTTCGTAATTGTTTAACATCCAACATGTTTGTAGAGTTGAAGCTTATGTGTCACAGGAGGGAGAACATTTCATTTTCCAAACTTTTTTTTTTTTTTTTTTTTTACTGGGATATAAAAACAGAAAATTTCAGGGTTAGGGTTAAAGTCATTCATTTGTAATCACCTTTAGACACTGTGTAACATAAGGACATGTTAGTACATGTAAACAAACTGCGTCACTGAAAATGTAGGTTAACTTAAACCCCTTTTTTTTTACCTCTTGTCAGCATTTACACAGATGAGGCTGTTATTCACTAATCTTGAAAACCAATTGTCAATAAAAGTATTCTTTCCTTTACAGCCTTAAAAAAATGTAAATCACTAGTGTACAGTATTTCTACCGTGTTCAAACTTCTCAATATCTAGTAACATGTGGCACTGAAGCGTTTTTAAAATCTGTCCAACAGAAACGAGCAATAACTTCTCATGTTTGTAAAATTTTATTAACAGTCACTTCTTACCTGAATGTACAGCTTTCTTTGGGATTATTTTTTTCATGGCCTAGCAACAGATTTCAGGAGTGTGTTTTTCAGGAAGGTACACAGTTGGTTCATCAGGTCTTTGTTGTGACCTTCCACCCAGTGAATTTCAATCATGACATCACTTCCCTCCAGCATGACGTTCAGCAGACACTTGAAGAGAAAGTGTTGGACTGCAGTGGGGCTCGGTGGTCTTGGTGCTGCAGCGGGGGCTTCGGTAGGGTTTGTAGCCTCCATGTCAACATCGTCTCCTTTGGCATCTTTAGGTCCTTCTTTCTCTTGGTCAGCAACTGTTATATCTTTTATTGTCACAGTTGTGTTGGAGCCTTTGTCAGCCTGGTTCTCTTCAGGCTGCTGTTGAACCGGCTCCTGTGAAGGTGTGGTGTCATTCTGGTCCGCATCACCCTGGATGGTGTTGATTTGGGGACTGGATGCTGTTTGAATTTGGGAGGAGGGGTTCACGGCCCCAGCACTGTGAGGCGCTCTGGGAAGCTCTCGCAACTGGCGCTTCTGGTCGCGGCGTTTCTGCCGCCCGTGGACCCATGTGTTCTCAACTGCTGTCACAAAGACACTCTGCTCGTGTGCTGTGCTGGGGAGACGTTTGTGCAGTACCTGTCGAAAAGAGACAGATGTAGTTGTAAAGTCCATGTAGTTGTGAAACAGCAGAATTACGAAAGGGTGTTTCTTTTCTGCCTCTGCCACAGACAATACAGTAAAATGTGATCTCACACCTATACTAGGGTTTTACCTTAATGTCAGTGAGTGTTTTCTCCAGCAGTGCAGTGACACTGCTCACAGGGCTGCAGTCGCTGGTGCCATCTGCTGTGGCTTTGACCTGCAGCTCCTTTACACCTGCCTCTGGCAGAGTGAAGGACAGTGGTTTCCGAGATTTTTCCAGTTTACGTTTTTTACTGGGAGGAGACTGTGGAAAAAACGGAAAACTTTTCAAACATTTTTGTACTGTAAAACTGTAAAAACATTTTAGGTACTGTCTAAGGCTAATGACTGCAGATATTAGTTAAAAACATATTTGTCTTTATCTGTTCTGTAATAATAAAATAATCACTACTGCTATTTTAAGGAGTTTGGAGATAAGATCAGAACATTTACAGAGACTTTGAAGGAAGACTGTTACAGTTGAGTAAACAAGAGATAGAAAAGATTCTAGCGAATCTGCTGTGTTAGGGTATAGGGTTATGGGTAACCTCAATCCTAAACCCTAAACCACTGAGACAAAACACAGGACACAAAAGGTGCTAACGTAAACACACATAAGGACAAACACAAAGGAGAGTATTGTCTCTGTTATCTAACACAGGCTAAAAAAAGTATTGACAAAAATGTTTTAAGGCATGTTGAATGTTGATGCCTCATCTGCACAAAGCAGAAACACGCATTTACAAAATGTTGATATCAAGGATTTTTGGCAAAAATTAATGACTTTCAGAGCTTTTGTTTTAGGAATAATATACTTTTTTTGTTTAAAAAAAGCTATGATTTTGTGCCCTCTTGTGGTGTACTCTGTCCGCCACAAGAGGGCAGTAACGGCCCATAGACCCATGTTAGCAGCATCAATGAAGTGAAGCTGTTCTCCATCTCCAACCCTCTCTAATGTCAGGTTGCAGTGACGTTGGAGGTCATTAGTCATCAGTGTCTGAGTGAAGCTGATGCACTGGAGCGCTTGTCTTCCTCAACATGTTCTGCAGACTTACAACCCACTGCTGCACTTGGGCATCACTGCAGTCAACGTGAAAGAGGGGAGGGACAGATGGGTGTGTTTCAGTGTGGGGGGGGGCTCGAGTAAGTGGGAGGGTGTGTGTGTGGTCTGCAGTAACAGTAGCGCAGCAGACAGTATGGCCGACTGACCTACAAACAGCTGAAGGAAGATGCAGGCTTTGACCTTCATGCTTCTGCAAAGACATGAAATCAAGTTTGGATTCAGTCTCTGAACTTGGTGCATCAGTGAAACAGACACATGTAAACTACACTGTCAAAAGGCTTTTTAATCCAAAAACAAAAATGAATTCCATTACTCAGATTACCCCGATCACCTCTTCTGATTTTTAGTTTAATGATCCGTGACCATGCATGGACATATTGAAACGGAGCACTAACAAAAGAAGCTGCCTGCTCCATCTGTCTGGTAGTTTTTCTTATCACTGCTCACAGACGTCTGTCTCATTTTCTCCATTCACTAAAAGCCCTGCAGCTCAATGTGGAAGGAGAGGAAATCAATACAAAACCATCAGTCTGACCATGTATGTTTGGACCGAGCATCCTTGAGATAGAATCTGAGTTTGGGTTTATGAGTAAACACACACTAAAACACACACACACAAACATTAGCAGAACTATGAAATAAACGCAGCTTTGCAAGCAATTAATGCAGAAACAGACAATTAGAGACAATTTTGGACACACACACACACACCTCACTTTTTAATTGCATTCCCTTCAGACTGTGCTGTTCTTTCACTGTGTTATTAATCCACCCATTTGCACAATTACCTCTCTGCATACACACATGCACAAGTAGAAACAATAGCGCACGCACATATACACACACACACACACACACTAAACATGGATAGATGATACCCTTACAATACCTGCACTCAAAATGTACAGGAAAGAAACACAACAAAAGACGCAGATCCAATGTGACACTGACACGACTACGTTGATCGAGTCGATGTTTTTATGCACGAGCACAAACACAGTTTTGCCTTCAGGCAAACATTATAAATCAAACTCTGATCACCTCCACTCCTCCCAAAACTCATTTTCCTTTTCGTCAAATCCCAGATCTCCCTGCACGGACTCCCCTGCTGAAGCAGTGTCTACCGGAGGTTTGTATGAGTAAAAACCACAGCATCAGCCTCAGGACTCAGGAAAATCCTCTCTGTCTCTGGCTTCTTTTGTTCTGTCTGCAGGTACATGTCTGATCCACCTTTGATGGTGTTCACGCAGAATGTGATTTTAATCTGCATCTTATTTTCCTCAGCTACATTCACTTTGTTTTCTTTTATACAACTAAATGCTAAACTAAAGGGACCTTTGTTTTTGTTTTTTTATTTGACCTAGTTCCAGGTCAGCTTAATTTTTGGCAGTTCAACACTGCACCTTCCCACAGGCTTCTATAACTATCACCTTTTTACACTTCAACCATTATTTGTTCTATTTTTTCATATAGGGAATACTAGACACATAATGAAACATAATGTTCAAAAACAAAAGAGACTTATTATCTATTTAATTAGCTTAGTAGCGTAATGTCCTCTTTTGACCAGAAAGAAGAAGTGGAAAATGTAACAGTGGTGCACAGGCTGACCTGGTAATAATGGTGTTAACTAGGTCACAGCTGCATGCATACCACATATGTTTCATTCTACATGTAACATTAATGAGCCCAGCCATTCCTGTACATACATTATTGCACACAACCACTGCCCATGCGTGAAGACGAGTCAGGCGTAAGGAATTACGAATCTGTCTTCTGCCATGTGACCAGTCTCTCTCACTCTCACTCTCACACGCTCACACACACACACATACACGTGCCCACGCACACACCGGATATGGGTGAAAGTGGAGGAGGAAAGATGTAGGCCAATCCTTCTGCTTAACCAGTTTTATGCTGAAGGGTAGAAATCACAACCTGTCCTTATCTCACACACAAACTGCACATACATGTGCGCACACACACACACACATATGTAAAAACACTAAACAGATGTAGAGTCACTGTCTCTGCTCCTGCTCACCACCTCAGCAGAACTGCTCTGTCTCCTGTGTGACAGCCTGTGTGTAACTGTGCGTTTGCGTGAAACTCTCACTGTCCACATAAGACGATGGCATGGCGTGGCATGGTGTGGTGTGTGCGTGAACAGTCATGTCCTGGCAACTGTTGCTTGGCTACTGTATGTTAAAATCACATTAACATCTCCCCGGAGGGAGTACTTTCGGTTGAAATGTGCTGCAGGAGAAAGGGTACAGCCTGGAGCAGGTCGGAGGGATGGAGCAGACCAGAGGTGGTGCATTATTAAGGAGGCTCTGGAAGCAGCTTTAGAGTGGGAGTTTGGAGAGCAGGATGACCAATGCAGCAATGAGGTCACATCCTTGGGTATTGATATGTGGTAAATGGTTGTGAATTTTATCACTGTGCCATTGAAAAAGAAAAAAAAAAACAATCTGTTGCAAGTGTTAAATTATTTGAGTGCATAGACTCACAGGGACGATCACATCGTCATAGAAACTCCAGGCGAGTGCCCATCGCATGGTCCGTCCTTGACAGAACTCTGTGTGTGTGACTTTAGGAACCTGAAAAAAAAGGAAGAGACTTAGCAGGATAGCAGGAGACTCACAACACTTAAAGAAGTCCAGGAACATCAGATGAAACATCAGGTGATTCAGTATATTCTAGTGGCTCCATAGTGCAGTGGTTATTATGCCCACTTTACACATCTGCCCTACACACAGAAGGTCCTAGAGTTGCAAACTGTGAATTTCCCCATTGTGGGACGAATAAGGGACTTAATAATAATTAGACTGTTAATTCGTTTTCTGTCTATGAGGTGAATTTAGGCCGTTTAGGCCAGGTTAAAATTTCTAAAGTATTTTAACAAACGGGCAGAAAGACGTGCACTGTTGTTGTCAAAGTTTGTATCTCGACCAATCACGATCAACCACGATTAATGCTGATTAATATCGATCATGACTTAAGCTCAATCATGATCGATCGCAATTAATCCACAGCTGTGATCACTCAGATCAAAATTTTAAATAAATGGATGTTTAGACAAAAAATAAATCCAATGCTCTGCCTAAATGTTCTCAAATCAAGAGCAACACAGTGGAAAATGTGGTTAGAGCCCCTGCCTTACAGAAAGTACACGGTTTAATGGTTCGCAGCTTCTCCTCTTGTGTGTATGGGATTTCAGTCTGAAAAAGTGCTCTTAACTGACCATAGGTGTGAATGTAAGTGTTAATGGTTGTCATCTGTGAATGTGGTCCTGCAATAGACTGGTGGGCTGTCTACAGAGAAGTTAAGAAAGGAAGGAAAGTGAACTGCTTGTCATTGTGACACAGCACACCACTGCACACAACCAAATGTGACCTCTGTTTTTGACCCATCACCACAGTCAGCAGGGGGAAGCTTTAAGCACCCGGGGAGCAGTGCCATGCTCAGAGCACCACAGTGGTAACTTGGCAGATGGTGGACTAGAACCTGAACCCTTCCGGACCCAAGTCAGCTTCCTTTATCACCAAGCTCCCACTGCCCCCAAAACCCCACCCACTCCCAATGACTGATGACTATCACCTCCCACAGGAAAAAAGATTCATCTGTAGAAGATTATGGAAGAAGGTGAAATCAAAGAAAATCATGTAAAATGACATAAACACACATTCACGTTGAACAAGTACCAGGCTCTTGTGGTTTAGTGTTAAGGCTTACTATGCGTTAGTTGAAATATAACTGTTACAATTCATTATCTTCTGTACATTTTAAACCCTGATGGTCACTGTTGAACCCTCAACCTCTCAGGGTGTGAAACACTCACTGTGGCCTTAGCTCCACACCTCTAACCGCGGGAAAAAAATAACAGGGAGTTTACAACCAGGGTGTGACATGCATGTGTGCGTGCTGCAAAAAGCCATTTACTCTAATGGAGCACTCTGGCGGTCTCTGAGGACTAGATAAAAAAAAAAAAAAATCAAAGGTCAAATAGCTCAATGAGGCACATTTTTGAAAGTAGGGGGAAAAAATTCAAGTGGCAATGAAGGCATTAGCGTATTACCTCGGGCAGGATTCTATTTACAAGCATGTGATTCCTGCCTTGGACATTAGCCAGAGCTGCACTCAGTGCGATGAGCAGCGAATGCTCCGCGAATCTCCGGAGGAGGTTTGATGGCCCACAGGTGCAGCGGGTCATGTGACTGGCACTAAACCAGTTTTGTTGCAGTTAGAAATCATGTGTATGGATAATGGCACTTATGCATGTTAGTCACAGGGCGGTATATGTGATGTCATCATGCAACAGCTCAGCAGAAATGTTCTAGTTTTACTATGGTTAGTTTTCTGGACATCTGCTGCTTCGACTTGAACAAGTGCCCAAGGGAAACCTTGACCACCAGTCCCAGAGGTGTTGGTTGGAGATGGAAGGTAAAGACTGTGTAACAGCCCGTCAAGAGGCACAGAGCAGCGTGTCCGACAGAAAGAGGCTGCTGGGTAAGAAACATAGAAAACTGTAGATTCGTGTGGTGTTTGTTTCTTTGTTCTGTTCCTCACCCCTTGTTTCCTTAGCTCCTCTTTCAAAGGTGCCAGGCTGCACTTTTTTCCCAGCATGCAACTGTACCACCTGCAGAAAGAAGGATTTTTTTGTTAACCAGCTGTGTGTAAAGGAGGTTTTGAAGTCATCAAGATGACAAAGACCTGATCAATAATCTCTGCTGTGTGAAGTAAAGAAGGAGTCCAGGATTTGGAAAAACAAATAGACCTTTAATGCAACAGGACAACCTTCTGGATGTGATTATGTTTGAGACTATTCTATATTATTGACTGGCTTTAATTCAAATGTAGAAATATTAAAAATTGAAACAATAGGTTAGGTAAATGCAATCATGTTAAAATTCATTAAGTAATAATAAAACAAAATCCTGACTGACAGTGTGAAAAAGCCAGCGAAAATTAGGTTTGGAAGGTATGGTGATGCCCAGAGGGGTGAGGGAGTGGAGGGAGGGACGTGTCAGCCTCTGATGTCACAATGATCCCCATCAAATAACCCCTTTTTCACAAATGTTCTTCATAAAAACCTCCTCTAATCTGCACCTGGATCCCCATCAAATAACCCCTTTTTCACTTTCATTAGAACGTGTATAATTACCTTCTTTTTAAGCTCAGAAGACAAATGTTTCCATAACAACACAATAAATAAGCAGCATCGCCTCACATCAAACTGTAAGTTACTCTGGGAGTTGAAGTGAGGAAAAAAGAGGAACAAGGTGTGTCCTCTCCAAGGACCAACCAGACAAGCTTACATGGTTTCCATGGCTACTTAGTGGCTTTGGTGTCCCAGCATGCTTTTGGGAGGGACAGCAGACAATGGTTGGTTTGGTCCAAACCTCAAACCTATAACTTCACCTGTCAAAGCATGGGTGTAACATGGAGCCACACAGGTGCAGGCAGGTGTGAACATCCACCCGTCTAGCACACACACGTATGTGCGTAAGCATACATGTGCACAGACAGAGAGTAGGCAGGTGCAGCATGTCTAATTAGTCTTAATAGCTCTACCCGGCAGAGTTTCCTTTGCTCTATTGCCCTGGTGACAGCCCTGGCAAAAGGTTGAGGGTACTGTGACAGTGACGTGGGCAACGCCCCACATCCACCCAAACACAGCTGTTCCCTGTGGGTATCTGGATGTAGTGCAGCGAAAGCTTGTGCCAACACTTTTCAAACCTGCTGTGGGTGACGGCTCCATCAATGTGCAGCAGCCCATCTGCCAGTTCACCGCTTAGTGTCTCCCTTTTATTTTCAACCTTTCACAGCCTACATGAAAAACAAAACACCACTCATCTGCTGATGGTGCTATTTGCAGATGAGTGGTCCTGAACAACTGACTCTTTTCTTTTTTAGCTGCAGGTGGTGCTAAAAAACATATGCTGCCTGCTCTGATAATGAACTTTGATTTTCTGTGTCTTTCTCACCGCAGGCGTTGTTTGAGCTGCACACTGTCGTGAATTATTCTCTTAACAAACTCCAGCTCTCCACCCTCCGCCATGATCTCCGTCACACCGCCCGTGTTCACTGAACTGGGAGGAGGCCGCCGGGAGTTCCTCGAGTTTACTCCCTGGAGAGAGGAACAAAGACAAAAAGAGGTCGAGAGAACAGTGTAACTTTCATCTGGAGGCTGCATTAGTGTCTAATGCTGCCTGTGATTGTTTACTCCCAATTACAGAATAATTATTGTGATAATAACAGTCTAAACATGCGAGTTAGAAGTTCACGAGTTAAACTGCAGCATTCAAAATATCTGTGGTTGATAAACACATACCATGGCTTCCATCTGGTTTGCAAAGAATGGAGGGTTGCACATGCAGAAGTCATATGTGATCTCTGTCTCCTCCTTCAGTGCATCCATCAGTAAAGTCTTCTTAGGAACTTTGACAACTGGAAAGAATACAAAAAATAACATACTTTCAATAAATAAGATACTCCAGGTTTCCTTGTAATTGTCATCATCTATATGTACTCATCTCCAGGACGAGGAGAACACACTCACCTTTGATGAGGTCAGACATGTTGTTCTGCTCCACATTTTTTGTAGCATAGTCAAAACATATATCGTCCACCTCAGTGGCCAGGAAGTACCAGCCATTCATTGTTGCACCCAGCAAGGGGTAAATACATGACGCCCCAGTGCCTGAGAAAACACATATACACACAGCAGTGTAAGTGTATTGTTTAAAATCATAATAATATATAAATAGCCATAGGAGGAGACGGGACATGAACGTGCTTCTTCAGCATTACTTTTACTTAGTGTTAATAATGTTGAATAAACGCCAGCTCCAGCTGCTGTTCCTAGTTCAGTCACAACAGGACGCCTACTGCATCCATGAGTCCATGCTCTGACAAAAGCAGTGCTGGTTAGTGGGACAAACACCCAGTGGTGACTCATCAGGGAACAGATGGTTTTTATCTGCTTATAGCAAGCATGTGGAGAGTGAACTAACTGTTTCATACTGGGAACACTGTAGTGGACCAGGGCCATATTTACCAGCTCATCACACTAGAGAGTTCATGTGTCACATGATCAGTTACACATGTACAACTGAAATGAAATGTAACCCAGAGTCTCTTTTCACTTTTTCATTTGTATTAATGCACAAAAAAGTCTAATAAGAATAATTGTAATGAACAAAAGTCAATGTTCTGCATATGATTTGATTACTGTGGACTGACACATTTCTTTCATATTTCTTTCATTACATATTTCCTTTAAGATTAGTCAGAACTAAAATCAATTGAAAGTTGTTCTGTTTTTATGTTAAAGAAAACATTTATTGCTGTTGTGAGCTTTGATCAAACAAGAACCCCTGCCCAAGTGTTTTCACTCCATTTACTAAAGTTTTAACTGAACAGAATTCTCATGGTAGCCAGAAGAAATTAAAGAAATGTCAACAGCCATCTGAAGATACAAAGATCAATTTGATGGACAGAATTCATGCTCAGACTACAAAAAACAATAATACAAAAAAACAATAAATAAAAGCTAAGTAGACGTGCTGGTACCGATGTCGATGCCCCTGCGTGGTTGTTTCTGCCCGTCTGTGAGGTCCTCTACCCAGTGGATATAGTTGAGGCGCAGAGGGACAGTGGGTATCAGACGCTCCAGAGGAATCTCAATGGTCAAACCAAAGTCCTCCTTCAGCAGGGTGCAGGTCAGAGCTCGTACTGCCTCGGGCTCCTTGAAATTCACACTGCAGAAGAATCATATCACGACAACGACAAACCAAATCATCAGTCGGCAAGAATGTGTTTTTGATGTAGAACGTAGTTGTGCATTAATGACATAAAAAAATGAACTCAGTTTTGATTGTAACTGGCTGCTATTTTGTCTTCTTCTTTTGCACATGACTACTTCATCAGTTACTGTGTAATATCCATCCCAACTGAAGCTCTTACAGCAGCAGAACAGCCAGGCAAACATGCCCCCCCATCTGTGTTAAAAGCTAAAGACAATCTGAATGCAGGGCTGAAGCTGCAAAAAAAAGTTTTAATTGAATTCTGAAAAGTGTTCTTGCTCTAATTGGTCACATGACAGGGATTTATCAAAAATGATTTTAATGCAGCAGTTAATTAAGCTCTCCCCCTCTAGAGCCATGCTGCTCTTCAAGACATGCATGCAAGAACACACAAACACACTTGCGCACACACAGATTTTTGTGAGCACTTCACATAAAGATTATGCTTACCCCTTTACGCTGCCCCTACAAATACATACAGTAGTTAGGGATGTATTGCTGTATATTATAATCTCAATCTGTCTCTTACTCTAATCTGACCCTAATTCTAATTCTAAATATTGGTCCCTACAAGGACAATGTGTCCCTAAAAAGATCGTACATACAGGAACACACATTAGGGGATAAGCAGGACATCAGTTAACAACTATAACCTAATAAATGAAAAATCTACATTTTCTATCTTTTCAAGCCTCTGTCCCACTCATCCAGTCTGGTCTTTTCTTTTTATAAGTCGACATCCTTAATGATTGCAGCCGTCATACAGACATGCACGAGTGCAGCAGACAAAAGCAGTGGGTGTGAATGGTATAATTAAAGCTTTTCTTAGAATTTTCGCACCTTGGCAGATGTAATTAGACACATTATGGTGATGCTGGTGTCTGGCACCACACTAGTTTGGTTTCAGCAATGGGAATATATAAAAAAGTGCTGTAGAACTGAAGGTGCAGCAGTTTTTATTATTCTCACAGTGATGGTTAGGTTTTGTAAACAGTATAATTAAAAAAAATGTTTGTACTTATTTATAGTCTCACTGTTGCTTTCTGTCAGGTTTGTTCACATATAAAATATTAGAGCAATAGTTTTCAGACTGACCACTGACAGTGACTGATTTATAATAATTTCCCAGCCTGGGATCAATAAAGTACATCCATCTACCTATCTAGATCACCTATCTATCATAGAATTTACAACCTTAACAACAACGTAGTGGAGAACATTATGTTTCTGCTGTTAGCATTTTCCCACAATAAAAACCAAAGGCAACCACTGCAAATGAACCAGGGCTACAGGACATCACATGGCATTTGATTGTGACAAAATTAAAAGCTGTATGAAAAAAATAACTAATCTGGGGATAACATGTTAACAAAAAAAAAACCCACCAGCAATCACCTAATTTCATTTTAAAAATGTTGTGTGAGAGGGACCTAAGACTTAAACTGAATAAACTCTCATTTATCACATTGGATAATTTCTAATGATTTAAATGAAACAGGCAATTGGAAGCTGATTCTCGGTTCCTATCCATACTGTCTGTCTCTCTGTCTACCTGCTTCATTGACAAGCATGTGATGTCATAGAGAAAACAGATCTTTTACTGAGGCGCACAATGCTGCCATTAAGTACAACTAAACACAAAGGTGTGAGACAGAGACAAATGAAAGGTGATTTACCAGTAACGTCAGACATTAATCTCACCCGGTGTCTTATCAACTAATAAGCACCGAGGGCAAATGTAACACTGGTCCAGTCTCATCAGCTGCAGTGATGTTATAGAAGAGCTCTAACACCTGCCGTCTCAGAGGACACCTTTACAAAAGGTGCCTTACCCTGGCAGCAGCTAAAGACTGGAATCAGTGATAGCATCAACCCAGCACTGACACACCACTAAGACTAAAAGGCAGCCCCTCTCATCTGTCCATCTCTCAGATGTTCAACCCTTTCATTTCTCCTCAGAGGCATCATTAAATACAGATCAATATTCAGAGAGGCTCGCTCTCTTTTTTTAGTCCCCAATGACAGCGCATACAGTATTGTGTGTGTGTGTGTGTGTGTTGGTTTAGGTCTGTGTGTATGTGTGCAATGCAGCCCGATCACTCCCATCAGCACCACTGTGAATGTCTCCATGGCAACCCCGCCTACTGAACAGATGAAGAGAGCACGCAAATCCGGCCACGCTGGAGCAATGGCTGATGCCAGACCGAGCGTGAGAGTGCCCGCGATTTACGTCTGTGTTGCTGCGTTGGTGGACCTTACGTGCATACGACAGTAACACGGCGACGGGAAACGGAGGGGGACAAACGGGAGGAAAATCTGAAAAGTTGGAATGAGAACAGATGGTGCACGTGAGATGAGAGGCAGTCATCAGGGGAGGAAAACCTGATCCCTGGTTGTGTGTGTGTATGTGTGTGTGTGTGGGGAGGGGGGGAGGGGGGGTGTATAAATAAAAGAAACAGTGTTGGCTGTGCAGCATAGATGATTCAGCTCAGGTCCAGATATACAGCATCATTAAAACACAGTGGAGTTAACGGCTGAGAAACAGCTACTTTCACCTCTGCATTACAAGATCAGCAAAATACACAAAGACATGCAGATACTCTCTCACACACACACACACACACAGAGCATACACAGGGAAATGCCCTTCATGGTATGTGTTCTTCATTCTCTGTTGTTTAGCAGCACCTCTCAAGTCAGGATTTTTGTAAATTTTTATTTCACAACTTATTGACTTCTTGCACAAACAGAAACCACTGTGTATCCTCAAACTGACTAACTAATTAACTTACTAAAAACACCTCTGACTAATGCTGGGCTACATTTAGGACATTGTGCAACTCAGCAAATATGCTAATGGTTAACAAACCAGCATTAATGTGCAGTAATTATGTTCTGGGTAATTACTGCTGTTCCAGATGTTTTGAAAAATGATTATTGTTTAGAGTAAAAACTACGTGTTTCTGCATCTTCTACTGCTTCATCCTATTCAGGGTTGGCAGAGATATGATAGATGTACCCCAGCAGGCACTGGAGCTACACCCTTGACAGGTCACCAGTCCATCACTGGTCACATATTAAGACCAATATTCATGTTTATATATAAATGTGCAATAAAGAGTTAAGGACTAACCTTATCCCCAATCTGCATGTTTTTGTACTGTGGGAGGAACTGGGGTACCATGGGGCCTTGGTCCATTGATCTTCTTGCGTACTGTGGGAGGAACTGGGGTACCATGAGGCCTTGGTCCATTGATCTTCTTGGCAATGGCACCAACTACCCCTCCACTATGTACTGTAGCTCTTTTTCTGTTTTTCTTAATTGATTAATAAATTAATCTATACATGAAGGTACTACTGTCCATGTTAATATCTGTCTGTAACGAGTCATTTTTAGTCAAAGAAAATAATACAGTTAGGTCTAATTTAATAGCATATGACAAAAATAGTTAATGGATGTTTTTAGTCAAGGGAAACAGTGATGAACATTTTGTCTAGTACAGCAGTACTTCTACGTTCTTTACTCAGTTCACCAAAACTACACTGAGACTAAGCTACTAGGAATATTCAAGTTTTATCTGCTATTCATTTCAAATCCAATCACATCCACCACACTTCTTCTGGCCCAGGCTCAGCTTTCTGCCTTATGCAATAAGAATCTCTTCAATGAGGAAAGACACATCTCCCCAGGGGAGAGAGGGAGTCAAGGAGAGAGAGATGAAGTCTCGCCAGGATTAGTCTCAATCACTAACCCACTGCTTCAATGCTTGGAAACCAGGAGGAGGAATAAATTGGAAATATAAAACCAACCAAATCCCTGGACTGATAAAATGACAGACTGACGGGAAGAGGACAGGCTTGTGCAGATGAGTGACTAGAGCTGATGTCAGGAACAGTCAGAGGCAGTCATTTTTAAATGTGCCAGGCAACAAGACTAGACAGACAGTTGACTTTGATTAAAAAAGAAATCCACATTATAAATAAATAAATATGCAAAACTGCATTTTGTAGTCATTGCCATTAAGACTGGAGTCTGTAACCAATACACAGCATCTCATAAAAGACAGTCAAGTTGGTTTAAAGACTGGAGGACATTTCCTGGTTTGAGCTAAAACTGTTAAATGTGTTGTGTATTTTTATTAAGCCTTGGAAAGGAACAAAGACAGAGACTCCAGCCAATTCTTTACCTCTTTTTACCTTCGTAAATGTCAATGTTAATTTGACCCATTTCAGTTTTTGTGTTGACCAAAATACTGGTTATTAGTTTTTTTTCCTCATGTAATTTTTTTACTTTTCCTTATCTCATCATGGTCATCAACAGACTGAAACAGTGTATCCATCAATAAAAGAAATTAGATTGCATATATTATGCACATGCAAAATTTCACCAACGCATTTAAATATTGGACATTAGTGTGGACACAAAAAACAACTCGATATAAAACAACCAGATGGATGTTAACCTCTGGTGGGGCACAAAACAAATGGGGCGGCAGGTGAGATTCACCCCTTGGCCCTCATCCTGGGCACTAGGGCTCATCAACCTTTGGGTAGACCCTGCAGCTTTTTGTTTCAACTTGCCTCAATTTGTTTACACACACATGCACAAATGCTCTACATCAGCCACAAAACTATCCTGAATACACAGTAAGCAGTAGAACTTTGTTTCTTTTCTTGTAATTCTCTTTTTCATTGAATTATTATGCTGGTCAAGCTTACATGTCAGTCTCACCGCAGCACCAATCCAGATCGCTCACTGATGTCAATATCACTAATCCCACCAGACGTACTCGCTCTCTATTCTCCAGTTTGAAATCTTTCTGATCATGACTCCTGAGCATTGTCTCTCTCTCACCACCTCTCTCTTTTACACACACTCCGTGGCAGGTAACCAAAGCACACCATTCAGCATTAGACTGACACACTGAAATATTTTTTTAATTCAATTCAATCTGTCAATCATCAAGTACTCTGTTCAGTCTTCCTAATGAAGTAAGGGAGCAGCAAACAGGAGCTGGAGTGAAACAAAAACAGCTTTGATGTCCAATGTGGATGTTTTACTGGGGCTCTGCCTCCTGTTGTCTGAAGCTGAATGAGCAGAGCAGACCTGACAGAGTCTACAGGGACCAGACCTGTGCTGTACGGGATCCTCTGAGCTTAAAGAGCTTATAATGGCAATGCAGTGAGAAAGTGTTTTTATAAACTGCAATGATAAGAACCTCATAGGGAGAAGCAGTTGAACACCTCACATGTAATACATAAAACTGTGGTCAATAATAACTTTTTATTACCCTCATATAAACTAATTTTAAAATAAAATATGGGATAAGACCAAATAAAGGGCTTATTATAATTGTATAATTTACTTACAGATTTGTATCAGCTTATTTTACTACTCACAATTGATCAGATTTAGAACTAAAAATACATAATAGAGCTTGACCAATCATCTGCCATGCAGGTTACTGCAGCTTTTTATGGGTGAGCTCTAAATATCTAAAAAACCAAAAGAGTAGTTCAATTCAAATGGACAGAATAACCAGGGCCTGAAACAAGTTTTAACAATTTTCAATGTATAAAGGCAGTTTGTCCCAAGTACATCATTTATCACAACTATGACATGATTCTGGTGGACAGTTTCAGGCACTTACACAGGTCGTCCGGTGAGGCTGGTATGTACATGCTGCTGGAAGTCAGGATACTTGGAGGCCAGGTAAGCAAAGTCAGGTGGTCTGTCCTTGTAACGGTTTCGAGGATGCATTGACTTGTTGAGTGCCATGTTTAGGGACCTAAACACAAACAAAAGCATGATTTCTAAGTGTGGGTGAGAAACTGAAGTACATTTAATACAAGACAGCTGTAAAAGAGGAGATTTAAAGATGTATTTTCTTTGTAAAAATAAGCTGATACAAATGTTCTTTGTGGTGGAACTGAACGTTTCACCACAAAGAACATATACAGTACATGGCACAATACATGATATTCTGTCAATACCGTAGAGAAACCACAGTTAATAGAATATTACAGAAGACAAAATGTTGTGTAAAATTACACTATTATCTTAAGGCCACTTAACTGCTGCTGTATAAGACAGTACTGATAAATAACATATACTTGCTTGTGCAAACACAAACAAGTTAACGTGATAGGATTATAAGATATGTATGCATATATGTATGACAGTAATGGAAATTATTTGTATAAAAATGTACAATCATTTGTACATTTCTAAATTACGCGTTTCTAAGCCAAAGCCACGTATTTTGAAACGCACTGAATTTTCAAACAAAGTTACTTAACTTTTAACGCTTATTTTTGTTTGTAAATGGTAAAAACAGTTTATTTTATAAGGGTATTTCAGTTTAAGAACTTGTTTATAAAGTAACGGAACCTCAAACATGTTAATAATGCTAACTCCGAAGCTAACTCAGAAGCTAACTTACAGGTTACGGTATTTCCGGCTTACCTTCATAGAAGACGTACTTCACTGCGGCTTTGTTGTTATTCTCGATTTTAGCGCCGGTTCCAAATTAACTCCGAAAAAACAGAAGAAGAAACAGAGAAAGAGCCACTGACGTTGAGAAAACGTTTACCCGCTACTGCCTTTCACTTCCTGGACGTCGTTGACGTCAACACTCACGTCTTACACGAAATGACGTTGGACGTAAACGACTACCGTTCAAATTATTGAAAAAAGTGAACACATTTAAATTGTGTATAAAAAGGTTTTTTTCTTTTTAGCATCGAGCCATCCATCCTTTCATCACCGTCCTACTATGCTTGAAATTAACTGACAACACTATTTTTAATTAATTAATTAATTAAATTAATCTTTTTGGTTTCAACAATTAGACAATAAAACGTTTAAATTGAAATTTTTATCAATTGCTGACTTTTGTTTATATAGTGTGGACTCCTTATTTTTAATAACTGAGTACTCAGCAAATCTACTAAAATTCTCAGTTTTTATTACTTTTAAGGGCTCATCCAAATTTACTCCATCTATTATAAAAATAAATAAAATCTTGCTGCTATTGGTGCAATATTGTTGCTGCTTATTTGTTACAACCACTTGTTTACTCTGCTTGTGGCATACCTTTATACTGTACTTTTAAGCCACATCCTTAAAAACATTTTAGCCACTTAATATTTCTTTGTCACTCTGAACATGTAATCTTTTTACTCTTGTTGCCCTTGTTTTGCTGTATGTTATGCTGATCCCGATATTCATATGGATTAGTAATCTAAAAAAAAAACATGTACAATAAAAAACATTAGTAAGATCACAAAGAAAAGGAAAACACAAAGTAAGATTTTAAGTATTTTATTATATTGCAAACAATGATGACATCCAGGTATGTTAACAGTTTGCTGAGTGAAAGAGTAAGACCATAGCAGTGAAACCATCATGAGCTCTTCTGGTGGAGCTAGTTGTGCAAGTCCGAAGCTCTCAGATGTGTTTCACAGGCAGGGTACAGAGGACAGGTGAATGTGAGGCTGGTGGAAATGACCTACAGACAACGTTAACCTGTCTGCTAATCACTCATGCACCAGACCAGAGCAGCACAGGGATTGCTTGAGACCTGCGAATGGCAAAAGAAGATTTTCTTCTACAGGGTGCACACTGGCAAACAACACCAGCTAATGCATTGTAGCATTCATCTACAGTTACTTACAAAAGCATCAGGACACTCACCGCCCTGACCTTAGGTTAAGCGACTTCCTTGCTCACAAACAAGGAAGGGATTTCTTTTTTTAAATTTACATATTATAGCCTGGTGTGTCCTGAAGAGACAACTATCATTTCTCAAAAGTTGGTCACAAAGTGCAGAACCAACTGAGGCAAGTTTCTCAAGATGAACCAGATTTCACTGAACAATACCTCCATTTTTGGCTTTAGCAAACACAAAGAACAAACTGTTATTTTGAGGTCCTAAGCCAAAATAGTACTCCAATATCAGCCATTTCTCCAGCAAAGAGAATGGTGTTTTCAAAAAGAAAAAAAATCCCAAAGAAATAAACTCTTTGTTTAAGGAATAAAGAGGGTACACACGTACTAAAGGAGACGTCGGTTTTATTCCCTGAAAGAGAGTTTCTCCTTTGGAACATCCCAGTCTGCCACAATCCCACTGCATTTACAAGGAGGAGGAGAAAGAGGTGGCAAACCGCCTTCAAGAGCGCCACACATGACAAAAACCAGCCTTTCTGCACCGTGTAAACAGAGCTGTCCGAACTCAACTCAACCAAGGACAGTTTGACATTTCGAACAACAGGCAATTCCACTTTCAATGCAAGAGGCAGTTGAGGCTAGCTCTTGTGCTTGAACCCTATATCAGCACAATGACTGGAAACGAATTCAGTCTGTGTTTGGCTTCATCCAACTGTATAGCAGTTGCCAGGCAACCAGTAGGGACAAGAGAAAGTTAGCCAAACAGATGCTGACATAATTCTGAGCACTGGCATGGACGACAAAAGAAAATGTTAATGTCAGCAAAGATACTGGTACTTTCTAAAACATTTCCACTTCAGTGACTGCAGGTATGTACTATCTGCTGGCATAATGTCTGCAGTTGCTGGTTCCTGAATATCTGTACAAAGGATATACAT